ACTGTCAGATAATCAACTCCGTAGCTGTAATGAGAGCCTCAACGCTCTAGCCACCTCTGGAGTATACTGAGCTCGAATCTACGTCGGCTATGGATTGCCTACAATAGGAACAGGTGCCAGTGATGCTGGGCTTCTACCTGCGGATGAACAGTCTCACCACTTCCTATTAGATCTTATTCTACTGCTATTCTTGCCAGAAGTCGATCAACAATGATCTCCACAAGCAGGTACAAAAATCTCTTCCGGAAGCAACCTGCGTCAGCTCTCACCAGCTGTCGCGGCGCATAAAGCACATACGCACATGTTCTTCACGAACTAGTCACAGATCTGGATCTACCTTCAATACTTATCCATCTCTATAAGTACTCGAACCGTACTCCCGTCCGTGTTCGATATCACGAATGTCCGACTTCACTGTCCGACATGTTCGACTGTTCTTTTATTTGTTAAGATCCCATTTCACCAACATCGACCTCCGAAGTAAAATCCCAATACCGATTAAAAAACGTAGTGTCCTCCAAAGGCTCGTCGAAAGGAAAAATCACCAAAGGGTCCTGGACCGCCAGACCGAGAGTTAATCCTCGGATATATACGACTAGCTCCCGATCGTTTCCAATAAATTTGTCCTTGATGTCTCGGTCAAGAGCCGCTCAAATGCGTTGCTCAACCAAGTTCCAATCCCCATCACAAATCTGGAGCAGTTTTTTGGCAGCCGCCTCCCAGGATTCAGTCGCTGGAGGATCTACGAAATTTTCAGAATACCCTTTGCACCAAGGCCAGTGGAAATTGGGCTCGTTCTCCCATGCCAAGAACACCTCATTTCCAAAGACCACTTCTTTTTTATTGTTGTTTCGACCACAAGCACGGTGGATTGTGCATAAATAGGCAAGGGTTTGCAACCCTGAGTAAGAGCAGTAGAATTAACAGGTTTAGCAGCGATTGCCACTTTCTTGTTGTTCTTCGACTTTCCCATTGTCAGGTTTGATGCAAAAAGGAGGAGCGAGTTTCGTTTTGCTACAGAAAAATCGTGTAGGCAAAGTACCAAAAGTGATGTTTGTAGGACCCGGATATGCGTGTTGCTTTTGTATTTTTGTTTTTTCAGAATATTGTCTTTGCAAAGAAGGAACATTGCCTTCTTTCGAATTTCCAATTAAAATAAAAGCGTTCCTTCCTCTCCCTTGATTGAAGATAACCTTTGAATTCAATTGTTCTCCCCATATTGCTGCCGCAAGCTTTTGAACTCCAGGTTTCGAAATGGCAGGTGGTCTGTTGTCACGTTGAAGGATCAAGTCTGCAGGTCTATCCCAAAGAATTTGTTTCCTCAACGACTTTTTTCAAACGATTCTTTCTCTAGCCAAACAATTTGTTTGGTCGCTAAACGATTTTTAATCGGTATAAGTTTACGGTACCGATTCCAGAAAGTTTTACAGGAAGCCGCTTTTCTACGAGGTGCGCTGTAATAAACGTACACAAAAAACGTACATCCCCACGGGCGCATGGTACTTTTGGATCTTGGAAGATTCGCTCCCGGGAAGGTTTCTGGTGAGGGTATAAGTTGTAACAGTTGAGAATTTTATGCGTTATAACTATTATGGACTGTCTGTCCGTCTGTGCCATTGAATTGTGTGACAAAAACAAAAACAATACCGTCAATGATGTTTTTTGCCATAATAACAGTACTGTATGTTTGTAGCACCAATTTGATTGGCAATTCACAACTGCTAGGCAGCGATTCTATCCAAAACGGCGCTTGTCTGTGTCCTGCCTGTGCATAGGAAGTCTATAATAATAATAACAATAATAATCGAGACATTAATCATTAGTAGGATGCTACTCTAGGGGCATTCGATTGCCGGTGAAATATTTGGCTGTAAAGGTCAAGTACTGTGGAGCGGTGAGTCAACAACAAGTTTGAACCATGTGAGGCATCTGTACATAGGCAGAAGTTGCCTAAGTCATGACTTCTCCTGCAGCAAGGCGGGGTGAATTCGGGGCACTTATTGTCCCACAAACTTTGGGGAGCGTTGAGGAGGTGAAGCAGAAAAGATAGTCCGTAGGCTACTGCGTTGAGCCCGCAGAGAGCGACGATAGTCCTTGCGCTCGTGTCAAAGTAGCTTCAGCCACTCTTCCTTGTCCACCAGTGATTTACGAAGGACGCTGTGACGGCATGTCAGCATGCGTCAGATTTCCTGAGGTAAATCAGCTGAACCCATATCAAACTGAGAGTGAATCCCCTCATTGACAACACAGTGACGGTCACAGAGCTGAACATTGTCATCCGAATGTTGAACGGTGTTCTGTTGTTCCCACATATAGAACCCAAGTGAGATGAGATGCTGGGAGAGACAGGAAGCCCACAGAGAAACTGACTGACAACTGCAAATCTTGTCAAAATAACTTTGTTGTAGTGACTGTCACAATGATGCTAGCCTTCCTTCCAAATGTCCTTGACACCCAATAGCTTCCTGGGCCAGAAAGGCGGGGCGAATGGTCTGAGAGATCAAACGAGAGGTGTGCCGTGATTTATCGCGGACACACAGAAGAAGATGGAGTATGGTATGTTTAATGGCAGGCGAGGTGAGATGCATACCCATTAGAGCGAGAGAGCTGTCACCCTCCGGTCCCATTTGTCCTTGGCCGACGCTGCAAGACATTGTGGAACATGCAAGTGATCTTCAAACTGGCCGCACCAAGGACATGCAGCAGATGATTCGAGGCCCCAATACACTTTGAACTTGCCCCTGCCACACATGCCCACCCAATGTTTTGTAATCCAGTGCTGGAGTCCGGCAGGGAGGGACCGCATAGTGTGACCCAGGGTCTCCCAATCAATGAGGTTTTCAGCTTCTTCAGAAATCACGTTATGGTCCCTCCATTGTTGCCAAAGGTGTGGAAGTGTCACGCATTCCTGAATGAATTTATCACTCAGCCGGGACTGCTTTGTGTCAGCCACAAAAAGAGCCGCCAGTTCAGTGAAGAACCAAGGATTGGGAGGGATGAGTTAGTGGGCTGCCTCAAGTTCCTTGCGGAAATCCACTGCCATGCCGTCTACCTCCAGGTTTTTCTTTTCCCACCAAGTGAGTTCATCAAATAAGTTGG